TACCATAGAAAATCCTATATTTTATATAAAACCGACTGGTAGTCTATGTTGTTCCAACATCGAAAACACAAGTATAGTCATTATACTTACTTTAATGATATCTAGTTTAGTTGATAGGTTAAACTGAATAAAGACTTGTTTACCCTGAAAACCTGATACGACAATACTACCCTCCTATGATCACTTAATACATATGAGTTGTATATAACCGAGATCGAATAGACAGTTGAATGGGTGAATCTGCCCTAAGCCTACAACCAAACAAGGAACAGGAGGTAAGGCGGAAGTCACACATTCCACTGACTAGTAGACTTCAGTTTTATCTAACCCTTTGGTATATAGTGAGTAATCATATAGTTAATATCCCTTGAAACTGTTAAGAAAAGTATATCACTACGTAAAAGAATCGTAAGTTTCTCCCATGCGAGTACTTATAACCATACTAATATGACGGTTTCTCTCTATTGATATACTTGTGACATTTGTCACCCAGCACTTGTAGCTAATAGCTAGGGTGCGGGATCGTCAGTCCCGTATAGATCTATACACAAACTCACGCTCTCCCTCCAGGAGACTCTGGTTCATAAGTCTAGACTTCCCTTGGTACTTAGGTAAGTACGCGAAGACGCGTCTCACAAATTGAGTGATTTAACGAGTTTACGAGTAATACTATGAAAAACCTTTTTGTAATTAAAGATGTAACTTTTCCTTATACATGTTTAAGACAATTGTTATCATGAACTGACCCATAAATTATACCTATTACAATTTATATATGTGTTCTGTTAAGCATGTGATATTCATGAATGCACTCCCTTTGCTCAACATGTTATAGAGGGAATATGAAACCCGATTGAACTAACTCTTATATTTATACATATATACAAGATATATAATTAAAATTGAAACGGCAGTCGGACAAATAACTTTACCCTAAGTCCACATCCAGACAAGGAAAAGGAAGTAAGGCGAATCATTAGTCCTACGCCCCTTAAATCTTATTTATATAAATATATACATATAAATATGATTTATACAAAAATATAAGTTAAAAAGGAGTTTATAAAATATTTAAAAGAGTTAACAATATTAAAGAAAAACCTTTTATTGTAAACACAATATCCTTGTGTTTAGACTTGTATTCCCCCCCTAACACAGTGAAAAATGGTAAAACATAGGGGTATGAACTCACCTTTTTGTGGGTGATTCGATTGAAGGTTCAGTTTAGGATGTTTTCCACTAGTTAGATCCCGAAACAAAAACAAGGCCTAAATAGCATATTATTACATATATATGTATATAGTTAGTGAAAATAACAACAAAGGTGTTTGGGAAACAACCAAAGATGCAAGAATAACTCACCAAAAGAGTGTTAGAAGCAAGTTAGGAGAATGAAATGGTGTTCACGGCCCTAAGGAGGTTCACGGCCCAAGAATACATGAGTATTCACGGCCCATGTTGAAGGGTTCACGACCCTATGAGTGGTTCACGGCCCAAAGATGTGAAGATAGGAAGTGTTTGGAAGTTGATTTCAAGATTAAAGTGTGATTCTTACAATTTTCTAGGAAGATTTCGCATGTTCTTGAGGAGAGAGGAGGTTTTTGGTTGATGATACTTGAGAGAGAATTGAGTGTTTGCGGCCAAGAAATGAAGAAGTGAGGGAAAATGAATCAAACTTATATTTATAAGGTAGAATGTGGGAGCCGAAGGAGTTCACGGCCTCGGTTCACGACCTTGGTTATCGGTCGTGAACCTCGTTCACAGTCCGAGGGTTTGCGGTCCGAAGTTTTGGCCTCGCATGGGTTCTCGGTTCAACTTGTTTCACTTCTTTAAGCATACAATACCTTCGGTACAAGGTTTATACACTTAAAACTCATGAATCAAGCTATATGTGTTAATAAAAGAAATGAGTTTAACCTTTATACTATATGTTTTACTTTTTACAAGAATAAAATTTTCGGGTTGTCACACTCGACGAGTCAGTTAGGATTTGTCCTGATGGATCTGGATGCGCTGTGACTCGGCAAGTTGACGGGTCAACTCGACGAATTGAGCTGGGATTTCATGAGATTTATGAGGAAACAAAGGGACTCGACTAGTTGAATGGATGCACTCGAAGAGTTGGGTCAACAGGGACTGTTGACTTTAGGGTTTGGTCAAACATAAGTGATGGGGGGCATGGAGGGGTAAAATGGTCTTTTACCCATCCCAAGAGTTAGAGAAGGACTAGAATGAGTTTATTTAGAGTTATGATTTAAGTGTTAATTAGATATGCTTACTACATGTAGGCAGGGATTAGACTGTTCGAGGGGTATTCGGTTTCCTTGCTTGCTTACGAGGTGAGTCTTCTCACTATACTTACCTAGAGTGGTAATATTTGTGTGACCTGAGGGTCTTATGTGTTATATGGAGTATTGGCATATACTACTTTATGTCTCGTGATTTATGCTGTGTATTATTTTGAGTTTACGGAGTTAGGACTAGAGGGTCCACCCGAGTTGTGGGACCGGAGGGTCCCATTGAGACACATTGACCGGAGGGTCTTATCCGAGTATAGTCATGAGAGGCTAATAAAATCTGTGTGGTAGTTTGGGGAACTCACTAAGCTTCGTGCTTACCGTGTTATGTCTTATGTGTTTCAGGTACTTCTCAGGATCACGAGAAGGCGTCGGCTTGATTGTACACACGAGGCGGAGTATGATTTGAGGATCCTGGATTGTTTTTAAATAATTTATGAACATGTGTTTTTTCGAAAATTGTTATTTGGAGTTTTGTGAACTATGATTTTGAGATTTATGTGACTTTTGAAAAACGAAAATTTTGGTTGAAAATTTACGGTGTTACAAGTCGGTATAAGAGCTTTGGTTTGAGGGATTCGGATGTACCTTCGGGTGTGTCTGGACTCAAATTGAGGATTTAAGAAGGATTTTCAAAAGAAATGGTTTTATAAAATTAGAAATAGTTTAAAGAGAAAAACGATTTGAAGCAGTGTGTACATTCAACCAGAGCCCGAACGGTGATTTCCCAAAATACCCTTAATTATTTATGTTATGAGATATTTATGAGATGTAGGGATGCATGCTAGAGGATAGGCTAGGTATTTCATATTTAGGGTAGAGTTGCCCGATTTGTGATGCCTTAGCCTAGGAGTTGTTGCTATTTGTTATTTGCCTTGAGTATATGTTGAGTAGGAGTATCTAGCAGGAATCACTTAGAAAGAGTTCTGAGTCGAGGGATAATCTAGGAGGGATATCTAGATGAGTATATGAGGAGCCTACTGAGAGAGTAGTATGTTATCCGTAAGAGGTATAGTACTCACTACTAGAAAACAGCCTTTTACGACGCGCAATGCGTGTCGTAAAATGCTCAGACGACGTGCAAATGCGTGTCAAGGAAGGCCCTGTCATAACGAGAGACGACACGCTTTTGCGCATCGTCTATGGACGACACACATTTATGACACCCATTTACGACGCGAAATGCGTATCAAGGAAGCCCCTATCATAAAGGAAGACGACACACATTTTCATGTCGTAAACCTTATGACGCACGTTTAGGACACGCATTGCATATCATTAAAGATCCTGTCATAAATGAAGACGACACACATTTGCATGTCTTAAACTTCAACAACCATTTACGACGCGTCTTTTCGATACTCATTTGCGCATAATACAAAAATATGGAAACAAATATATACCAAAATAATCAATTCCATCGATAACATCATGTCAAAAAATTGTAGTACATTGCTATTAAGGGGATCCGATTGTATATTGTTATTAAGAGGTTTTCCCTTACTATATAACCTAATACTACATTGCTATTAAGGAACACCTTCTTGTTTCTACTTCTTATTGTTATACTTTTGTTTCCAGATGATACCTATTTTCATCATCAACACATTAGTATTCAGAAAGACTTCAAGCATCATCAATCTATGTTATAAAAGATTAAAATTTAATACACATGTAGTAACATTCCTTTTTCCGAGAATCCAAGATTCAACACATTAGTATTCAGAAAGGCTTCACTACATTGCTATTAAGGAATTCCACTTTGAATAGGTTGTGAGCATGCTATAAAAATTTATTAACAGGTTGTGAGCATTAAAGAAGCTTTTGAGAAAAGCATGAGACAAGATAACTGTGAGTTTGCTTTTGTCCTCAACCGTGCTTCCAATGTTCATCTTGTTGAGGTTTGTTTCAGGGAGGGCAAAATATATTATTACATTTACATAAAGGAAAAAAGTTTGGATTAGAAAATGACATGTTTACCCTTGTAACAAAAAGTTGTGTTTCAATTTTGGTCCTTATTTTTGAGGTTCTTGTAAAGGTTTTGGTCCTTGAGTATAGCTGATTTTTGCCACTTTGGACCGAAAAATAGTCATTTTTGTTGGAGAAGAGGCCAAATATACAAAAAAGGAAACTGTAGGGACAAAAAGAAAAAAGAAAGCTATATTCCGGGACTAACAATTATAGTTGGTTCAACTGGAGACTTTGATCCTTCAAAAGGCAAGGCTTTAGTTGACCTTATAGTCCTTGTTGTTTCACTTTGTTGCGATTTTGCTCCCTCTTACTCGTACCTTTAGTAAAATGACTATTTTACCCCTAGCCCCTTTCTTATAAACCAACAAAAAGAAAAACCATAACTTACTTGTGTAAAAATTCAAGACCCCCTATAGTTCTTGATTCAGTGCCCATCAATTCAATTAATCCTTCCCATTGCTGCATATATATACATAAGGTATTAATACAAATCATACATTCATACATACATACATACAAGCATACATACATACATACATACATACATACATACATACATACATACATACGTACATACATACATACATACATACATATATACATACATACCTCAATACTTTCATTAGAGATTGACTTTCCAACAAAGTCAAACAACTTCTGAGCAATTCTATTAAGGTGAACTTCATCATTTGTTGTAGCCAGAAGATTCCCGGAACCTTTTCTACCATGCTTCTAGTGATGCATCACATCAATCTGTTAATTAATATGTAATATCTCATGCTGTTATAATCAATTATTCAATAAAACATTTACAAAAAACATTGATTTAATAAAATTACCTTCATAACATTTTCACTCACACTATCAAGATCATATAAACGACATATCTCAATATTCTGTTTGTAGTCCAATAGTAATTGAGCATTAAGTCATAAATTCAAAAAGTCAAAGCAGATGGAAGGTCAACGAGTTAACCTTGAGGAGAACTTGACTATGATATACTGGTTGTTTGTATAACAAAATTTCTTGAAGAGATTTTTCACTTAAAAGCATAACCACTTCAGACATTGCAGGTCTAGTTGATGGTGGTTGAGTGCACATCAATGCTATCTTGATGATCTCCATAGCATGTTCTACTGCATATTCACTAGGATCTAGTTTCTCATCGATTAAATTCAGATACGTTGAACTCTCATGTAGATCCCATGCCTATCATACACATAACAACAGAAAGGCTAGTAAGAACTTCTCACCTAAGCTTAAGGTCTCACTGAATATAGAATAAATCATTGATTGTTTGAGATACCTACATCACTAAAACCATAAATGAAAAGAACGAGTTGAATGAACCAACCCTTAATTATGAGATACTTATATGATCAAGGAGATTTTGAGTGAAGAAATTATAGTTCTCATATCTACATCAAAACAACTCAAGTTATCAACGACATTTTCCTTTTGATCCATGAAATCAGTATAGTTATAGTCTTTCTAGACAAACATTAATGCAGTTGATCAAACCACGCGGTCTATTTTTCATATAACTTTGTAATTTTTTGAACATGACTTATAATATACAATACAAGAAAATACCAAGTGTGATAACCATTCCTTTTATATAGATGATATTAATGAAAAAAATTTAGCAATATACAAGTAAGACGAAGTATGACAAACATATGCACCTGACATCGCACTTATTGTAAAAACCATGAGCACCATTAGCAACCCCACATCTGTTTAGCTGAGCTACACCATTGTTGAAACAATTTAGACAATCTGGGATGGAAACATATCCTCTGCACCAAGCAAGGCCGTACACTGGAGCACCATCAAGAAAATGCAAAACACACTTCTCTCCCCTATATTGATTTTGCTCTCCTACATATCCACAACATAACAAGATCAAGATTAATTTACTAAAGATAAAAAACAAAATTCAAAATGAGATTAGATACAAAGATGGTTGCTTACCTCTACATTAACTTTGTCAAAAAGCTCAACCTTAAGATCATACTCATGCTGACCAACTGAAGCAGAGAATATAAAAACACCTTCTGGAGCAAGATTTACTTTTGCATCTTTTGTATCCGCCAATAAAACTGTGATATAAACTTTATCGAAGCAGAGAATGCTTGCTGAGCCCACTTAACTTCTGATGAGGACTACAAAGCTCAATATATTTTCGAATTTATTAGGATACAACAATCATTGAACCAAGCACAAGCAAGCATAAATATGTAAAACTAATAAATCAACTGTTTTCTAATTCTCACCATTGCAACACAGAGAACCCAATTCTTGTGCCCTGAATAGATATGTAAAAATATAACAATTTCTTTTGCTTTAGTGATTATGAATTTATGATAACAACCATCATATTCACTACATGGAACTTGGCTTCAGTGAAATTGTATACCACTTACGACTGTGAACTGAAAGAGCAGAATTTGTAACTACAAATTGAGTAGAAAGAATAACAGATAGTTTATGAATCAAAATTGTGTTTACAATCCACAAAAGTAGTATAAGAAGAAGAAATTAGAATCAAATTGTACCAAAGTGTTAAGCAGTGAGCCACTGACAGGAGTACCCGCCTGAAGGGGATACCAACGCCATGAGATGATAGAATCGACAGATGAAGTGATTCTCTCATCTGTATGAACTCAAAAAGAAACAAACATTACCTCTGTTTTACATTTTCGAAACCCAACATTATGGATTCGTCATTGGAGCAATCGAAGTGCACATACACATCTTTTATGAAAAAACCCTAAGTCGTCAGTGTCTTAGTTGATAACTTGTACAAAAAAACCCTAAATCGCTATGAGAGAGGAGTGAGGCCCGAATCGATTTCATTGAGATGGGATATCTTGAAGTGGGGATGTATAGCAGTCCGATAGGGCGAGGATACTTTACTCATGCGGCACAACCGGACGAATCAAGGGTGTCGAGCTAACCCACAGGAAATCGATTGAAGTTCCTGACTCGAACCTTGTAGTTGCCGTCAAAAAGTACACAAAAGTATTGGGCTAACAATATACGTATAATTGATGGTCGCCATTTTGTGATCTTCAGGAATGAACGCGATTTTTTAAGAAAAAAATTATAGAATGGTTATATGAGTTGTCGAGGTGTATAGCAGAGATGGTATCGTGATTAGGGTTTGCAGAGAGAAGGGAAGAAGAGAATGACGGGAGATCTTGAAGCGGGGTATTTAAAAATTATAGAATTTTAAGAGAATTTCGTTTCCCCTTTTAAGAAACGTGTGTTTTGAGTAAAAATCATAAAGCGACACTGCGAGAGGACGCACATTTCAGATAAAGTGCCCTCCGTGTTTTTAATTTTTTTACATGTGACACTAATTTAAGGGCACGCAATAATGTGTGACCTAATTCCTTAAATTTTTTGAGGAGATCACATTTTTTTAATGTCACTCTCTTTTGCGTAACATAAATCAATGAGTGTCGTGGTTTGCGCGTCGTAAAAGGGTCTTTTTCTTGTAGTGACTTGTGGATTGGAATCCTAGGAGGAGGACTTGGGGTGACTACAGGTTGGTGTGGAAGGTAGTATTGGGCCCGTGCTACTGAAAACACCAGATTTGTATGCAACCAAAGTAAGAATCCTTAGGGTACTAAGGAGCATGTAAGGGCGGGCTATCGAGTGTGAGTATGCTCGAATGAGTCTCTGATGATTTTTGTGTTGTGTTTCAGAGACATCTTGGTGGTTGTGCACCACAACCCCGGGGGCAGTGAGACCAGTGGTACCAGCGACGAGGAGATCCACATGATCATTCATGAGGAGGTGGCCACAGGTATCCGAGAGGCGATACCGGAGATGTTTGGGTCTATTAAGACCACACTGATTGAGACATTTGATGAGCGTTATGCTTCTGTTACTGAGGTTGCCGCTGCTGCAACCACTACAGCCGTAGCCGCTGGTAGGCCACATGGAGGTGACTCGTTGTTATACCGAGAGTTCAACAACACAAAGCCACCAGAGTTTGTTGGGACACAGGATCTGATTTCTGCTATGAGATGGATCTCCGACGTTGAAGGGTGTTTTTACAGGTGTTCATGCACCGAGCACCTGAGAGTTCGGTTTTCACTATACCAGCTTCGCTTGGGGGTGAAGGACTGGTGGAAGTTTGTGACAGCCAACTTTACTCCTGCAGTGCATGCTGTAGTGACATGCGAGAGATTTTCACAGTTGTTCTGAGATGAGTATGTTCCCCCGGTGGAGAGGGAACGGTTAGCCCAGGAGATTCTGTCTCTCAAGCAGAAGACAAAATCGGTGACAAAGATTACGAGGATGTTTCACGAGAGGGCGTTGTTCTGCCCTGAGCACGTATCTTCTGAGCAGGCACGCATGAGCCGGTATCAGAGCATACTGAGGAGGGATATTCAGGAGTTCATGGCGAACTCGTCTTATTAGATATTTTTCGAGCTTTAGGCAAATTCTAAGAGGAGGGAGATTGAGTTAGAGACTCAGGCCAGGGAGGAGGTGGAGTCTCAGGGGAGAGACCGGAGACCGGCGCAGTCACAACCGACTGCGAAGCGGGCTAAGCCCACTGATTTGAGATCAGGAGGCCAGAAGGGCCGCACTTGTGGCAAGTACGGAAAGAGTCATGAGGGATCTTGTCGGGCGGGGATTTGCTACAAGTGTGGCAAGGAGGGGCATATGGCGAAGGACTGACCCAAGGGATTCTCGATTTGCTTTCATTACAACCAGACTGGCCATCGGAAGGCCGAGTGCCCTCAACTCACTCGGGGATCAGTTTAGACTTCTACTCCTCCTTCATTACGCGTTACTAATGGTCGGACAGTGAAGGTCGAGGCTTTGAGGGCTCGTGGGACAGCATTTCAGTTGACAGCGGAGGAGGTATGTGTAGCACCTGATGTCGTGGCTGGTATGTATTTTCCTTGTTACTGTATTTTGAGATTTGGATATGCTTATACTGTATTGCATATAGGTACTTTTTTGTGAGTTCTATACTTTCTTTGGTGTTGTTTAACTCGGGTGCGAGTCGATCCTTCGTGTCTTTAGCTTTTAGTCGTCACATCGTTATCAGACGTGAGACATTGATTCGACCTCTGAGGGTTTCTATAGCCGACGAGCATGCGGTTTTTGTCACTAATGTATTCCGAGGATGTGTATTAGATATGTTTGGTGTCGAGTTCCCGATAGATCTGGTGCCGATAGCGATGGGTGATGTTTGTGCTATAGTGGGTATGGATTGGTTGAGCCATTCTAGAGCCATAATTGACTGCGAGCGTCAGTTGGTGACTATACGAGACCCTAGTGGGGGAGTGCTTGATGTGTATGTCGAGGATACCACATCTGGATCAGCTTTCTACTCTGCTGCCAAGGCGAGGCAGAGTCTACATTAGGGTTGTATGGGATTTTTGGCGTACGTGATGGATACGCGGGTTGTTGCGGAGAGGCCGAGATCTATCTCCGAAGTTCCGATAGTGTGTGTGTTCCCGAATGTTTTCCCCGAGGAATTGTCGGGTGTGCCTCCTGAGAGGCGAGTGGAGTTCCGGATTGATTTGGTTCCGGGTGCGGTGCCTATTGCCAAGGAACCTTATCGCCTTGCGCCGCATAAGATGCAGGAGTTATCCTCGCAGCTCCAGAACTTGCTAGGGAAGGGTTTTATCAGACCGAGTAGCTCGTCGTGGGGAGCACTGATCCTTTTTGTCAAGAAAAAGGATGGTTCAAACCGGATGTGCATTGATTACCGAGAGTTGAACTAGCTGACGGTCAAGAACTGTTATCCACTTCCGAGGATCGACGATTTATTCGTTCATCTACAGGGGGCATCTTCGTACAGAAGACGGCCTTCAGAACTCGTTATGGGCATTACAAGTTTGTGGTGATGCCTTTCAGATTCACCAACGCACCGGAAACATTCATGGATCTCATGAACCGGGTGTGCAGGCCTATGTTGGATCGTTCGGTGATCAAGTTCATCGACGATATTCTGGTGTACTCGAGGTCTAGAGAGCAGCACGAGGAGCATCTTCGAGAGATTCTTGGAGTATTGAGGACGAACAGGCTTTATGCAAAATTCTCCAAATGTGATTTTTGGTTACGAGAGGTCTAGTTCCTGGGACATCTCGTTAATCAGAATGGAATATTGGTCGATCCGGCCAAGATTGAGGCAATTATGCGATGGGAGGTGCCGAGATCCCCCTCCGAGATCAACAGTTTCCTGGGTCTGGCCGGCTACTATCGGAGAGTTATTAGGGATTTCTCCAAGATTGTGGTTCCTCTTACCAGACAGACCCGGAAGAGTGTTACTTTTGCCTGGGGGGCCGAGCAGTAGGCCTCGTTCGAGACTCTTCTCCAGAGATTGTGCGAAGCTCCCATGTTAGCCCTTCCCAAAGGAGTGGAGGATTTCGTGGTTTACTGTGATGCATCTATATCAGGGTTGGGTGCGGTGTTGATGCAGAGGGGGAAAGTGTAACATCAGTAAAAATAGGTTAACACCAATCACATGTGATTAGGTCAATCAAGTAATGTAATAAACTTACTATGTATTTTGTTACACCCCCAAACCGAATTAACGGAAACATTCGGGGGCGGAGGACGTCATGTATAGTATCATAACAATGCATAATAGTAAATCAAGCAACAACATTCATTGCATTAAATAGTAATAGTTAATACATGTGTGTTCTTTGTACAGTTTAAATGACACCAAAAATGAAGGTGAAACAAAATAATATGACGAATCATGATTTCCGATGCGTCTTCAAAAAAGCTGACTAGTGTACCTGCCTTACTGGTTTCTGAGAATACAAGTTATTTTGAAAAGAGAGCGTCAACATAAGAATGTTGGTGAGTTCATAAGTACTTAGTGTCATTAGGTTGCGTTTGTTTTACAGAAATGCTTGTATTCGTTTTAGTAAAATGGTCGCATCTTTCCCAGAAAATCCTATATTTTCTCCCTTTAGAATGAAATGTAGTCTCCTACCCGAGACCCGACTGTTTGTATAGTATAAAACTGTACATTTTCCATATTAGTAATTTCTTTTACTAGAAAAATAGTTGTTGTTAATCTTGCATGAAAACACTGTATAAGTAATGTAAAATGAAGATGAGTAGTTGTATTACGCTACAATACCATACTAATGGTTTACTGCCTTGTAACCGAGTTGGTTAATTAAGGTTAAAATGTGATTGAAATTTTAACCATGCTTGATCGACCTAGTATAAGACACGACGTTCTTCGGACGTCGAAATCGTATGACATTTCTTCACCTGTGGACTTGCAGGTCCCACTGTAGCTAGCAGCGAGGTGAGGGATGGTCAACCCCGTATAGATCTATACACAAGCTCACGCTCTCCCTCCAGGAGACTCTGGTTACAAAACGTGACACAACAAGTGTATTGTTGTGCCATGAAGTAGTATCTCACATTTTTGCTATCATGTACATGTATAGTGTGTATGTTCCTTCTGTTTCTTGTATATGTATGTGTGTGTTCCTTTTGTAAATGTATATATTCCTTTTGTAAATGTATATATTCCTTTTGTAAATGTATATGCATAGTGTTACTTCTTGTACTTGTATATGTATGATCTCTAAACTATACATATTATAGTTTACTAGTATGTT